CCCCAAAGTATCCCCTATTGTGTTTCTTGCTGTATTTTTTAGCCGTGTAACTATTAGGTGTATCTCTATTTACTATTAATTTCGCAAGTGTATGTTTTTAATTTTCCTATGCCAATAAAGATTACGGAATTAAGTCCTGGGCTTTGTCGGGGGTCAGAATTCTCTCTCAGAAAGTTCCATTGCTTTCCCTGAACTTCGAATCCCAAGATTCCAGAGGATGAACCCAAGGGACCAAACGGGTACCTTGAGATCCCACTGGGATCGCTGTGTAGCGTGGACACGCTCTGACTTGGGAGATGAAACAGAATAATGGCATGGCCGTGCCTTGCTGTTGGGGCGAGGAGAGTTTGAGACCACACTGCCCATCATCCCCTAGCCAACACATGCTAAAACATTGCGCTCTGTCCCTTCCTTTCCAGAGGGAGTGCCTGTCGATCCACATTGGCCAAGCTGGCGTTCAGATGGGCAATGCCTGCTGGGAGCTCTATTGCCTGGAGCACGGGATCCAGGTGGATGGAACCATCCCTGGGAACCAGGCACCACAGAAGATCCTGCCCGAGGCTGAGCAAGTGGATTCCTCTTTTGAGACGTTTTTCTGCGAAACGGCATCCGGGAAGCACGTCCCCAGAGCTGTGTTCATTGACCTGGAACCAACGGTGATCGGTAACGTCCCCACCCGCCGGGAGCACATGGGTCTTCCAGAACATCATTTTGCAATTTTTTTTTCAGATGGGGTGGTGGTGGTTTCTGGAGAGTCTTTAAGAAGAATGGGATTTTGGATGATATCTCCCAGAAGTCGGCTGGAATTTCTCCAGCAGAACTTCTGGGGGCTTTAATCAAGCAATCAAAGTCCTGTCAGGTGGTTTTGCAAGTTCTTTAGCTCAGTGGTTCCCAGTCTTGGAGGTTTGACCTCTAAGCAAGGATTACTGGGAGTTGTAGTCCAAGAACATTTGGGGTCCCAAAGTTGGGAACCACTGAGCTAAAGAACTTGCTAATGAGCTTAGCCCCAGCAGCCATCTTTGTTCAGTGGAGAGGACCGGGGGAGTAAGCTGAACTCCACGGGAATGGCAAGGGATTGTGAGTCTGTTAGGTTTTTTTCCAGAGGCACCTTGCGTAGAGACCATCCGGCCCGTAAGCCCTTGCAGTTTCTATGGAGTTTAGCCTCAGCTACCTACACTGACCAGCCACAACAGTAAAACCACCTGCCTCATATTGCGTAGGTTCCCCTTGTGCTGCTCAAACGGCTCTGAGGCATCAAGGCATGGACTCCACAAGACCTCTGCACCTATCCTGTGGTATCTGGCACCGAGACATGAGCAGCAGATCCTTATAAGTCCTGCAAGCTGCAGGATCTCCATGGATCAGATGTGGTTTCTCGGCATATCCCACAGATGCTCCATCGGATTGAGGTCTGGGGAATTTAGAGGCCAAGGCAACCCACTCTTCAACCCACTCCTGGACAATTTTTTTGCAGTGTGGCAGAGTGCATTATCCAGAGGAAAGAGGCCACTGCCATTAAGGTACACCAGTGCCACCTAGTCATTAAGACACCAAAAAAGTGTTAAATGGCAAGGCTGGGAAAGCTATAATGCTAGATGGTGCTCTCCAGGCATCCACCATTTCCCCTTCCAGCCACCCATCCCTTGTGTCTATAAAGCAGGTGCTCACTATCACTTCACCGCCTTGTTTGCCACATATCCTGCTGCTGGGTTTTTGCTTGATAAGGTCCAAAGAGGATCAGCATCTGGCCTGTTAAACCTCCCAAATCACCCTGTAAGTAAATCAGGAATGCAGGAGACGACGTGCTGCCGTTCTCTCCGTTTCGGGCTCATGACTCCACCTTTCTCCTGCTTGTAGTTCAGCTTCACTATCGGGAGGAAGAGCAGCCCGGTGTAAGCTGGGATTTGCAGGTGAATCCTGAACTCGGGACTCTCCAGGGGCTGTGTGTGCCGACAGAGAGACCTTTGCTTCTCCTCTGTCATAGGGAATCTGGCGGAAGGGGTGCCTCCCTGGCAATTTTCTGTGCGGGGAACAGGTCAGGCTGCCTCTGCGACCACTGTTCTACTCTTTCCTTATCTTAAGGGATAAAATGAGTGGGACCAGGAAAAAAAAATTAGTTATTCTGAATGACAGCTCCCGGAAATTCCCAAGCTTGCGGAAATTCCGAGAGTCGTAGTCCAAAAACCTGAACTTTTTTCAAGTATGCACACACATTCTGCTACAATCACAATTTGTGGCAACAGTAGGACATTCCAGATCCTGGAAATGTGAGTCCTATTTTTGGACTGCAGCTCCCAGAATCCCCCCCACCCCGGTCAGCTCCCAGAACCCTTGGCGTTACCGTCCCAAAAGGCATGTTTCCAAACCCTTAAAATGCAGGCACAGATTAGGTCTGAAAATGTAAAGGAAGAAAATGAAGCTGCGAAGGGTAGCCGTGGTCTGATCGGAAAATCAAGGGGAGGAAGCAGGGCTGGGGGAATGTGTGGACATCCAGAGGTAGCTGGACTGCAGCTCCCATCAGCCACAGTAAAAAAAAAAACATGCTAAGGAGTCCTGGAAATTCAATTCCAGAACATCTGGAAAGGCCCCTGTTTCTATTGTAAAACATGACACTTATCGAGAAATGGTTTCGGCTCAAAGCCACGAGAACCACGTCTCATGGACTTGTGTGAAGATACGTGGCTGAAGTGGATAAGAGGGGAGATGTTCTGTTGGTCCTGCTTTTCAGCTGCTTCTCTTTCCCTGCAGATGAAATCCGCACGGGGCCGTACCATTCTCTCTTCCACCCCGAGCAGTTGATCAGCGGCAAAGAAGACGCGGCCAACAATTATGCCCGCGGCCACTACACCATCGGGAAGGAAATCATTGACACGGTGCTGGGCCGGATCCGCAAAATGGCAAGTGGCTGGGCTTGCCTGTTTCCTTTCCTCTCCACGTACAAGGAGCCCCACTCTTGTAGGATCACACTCTACTAGGGGGTTTGAGATTTGTTCTCTGGGGTTTTGAACCCAAACCTCAGAATGCTCCCAAAAATTCCCCAGGCAAAATTTGGGGGGGGGGAGTTTCAGCCCACAAACCTGTGCCTGCAAATGCCTTCCTTTTACTCACCTGGACAAGGCCTAGGCCTTATTCGACACCTTCATTTCCTGCTGCCGTGCTTCCTGGAAGGAAGCTGCCCCAGTGCTTTCTGGAGCTGGGGGCAGCTTCCTTGGGGGTGGGGGTGGGGGTTAGAGCATTAATTGGAACAAGACTGCTGCCTCCAGGAAGCATCGTGGCAGGAAATTAAGGCCTAGCAGGAGGCCTCAGGCTTGTCCAGGTGAGCAAAATGCCCGTACGTGTTTGTGGGTTCTTCCTGGAAAAATCTTGGGGAATTCTGGGAATTGAAGTGGGGGGGGAGAAGAATGCTACGCCCCCATAAAGTAGATGAATAGGGATGAGACGGTGGCCTCAGGCCTGTGAAATTCATACATCTGAGCAAACTGACCTAGTACAGTAGTGCGTTTTACAAAGGCCTCGATTTATGTAATTTTTTGGTTTACAAACGGAAATCCACGTATTTTTTTGGTTTACAAACGGAAATCCGTTGAAAAGAATGCCTCGGTTTATGTTTCTCTCCCCCCCAGTTCTTTTTGGTTTACGAAGAAGGTTTCCCCAGGATGCATTGTGCCTGGTGGTTTGTAGCACCATCCCTGTTCCTATGGCAATCCGCGTTTCGGTTTACGAATTTTCTGCATTATGTAATGTTCCGGAGAACGTATTAATTTCGTAAACCGAGATACTACTGTATATTTAAAGGAAAATGTGAGTGGATAAGGAAGCCAGGGACAGCCTAAGTTCGTGATTTCTCATGCCCTCCTGACATTTTGGACTTCAGGTGCCAGGAGCAGCAGACAGCGTAGCCAGTAGTTAGGAATTCTGGGAATTGAAGTCCAAACTCTCTGGCAGACCAAAGCCGGAGACCCAAAGTTCGAGCCCGTTGATGCCTCCACGGTTCCTGCAGGGCCTGATTCCCCGGCAGAAAGGCCAACATAGAAGCATTGGGTGCGAATTTTGGAATTTTGCAATATGTGGCAAAATCATTAATGATGCAGAGATACCCTTCCAAGAAACGATAGTGAGGAAATGAATACTTCACCCACAGTGCTTTTTTTTTGATCTGGCGCAATAGCAGATGAGTGTGATTGTGCCCATTAAATCAACGGTTTCTCTGAGCTCCAAAAGCTGATGAGCCCAGGATCCGGGTGTGAATTTTGGAATTTTGCAGTATGTGGCAAAATCGTTAATGATGCAGAGATACCCTTCCAAGAAACGATAGTGAGGAAATGAATACTTCACCCACAGTGCTTTTTTTTTGATCTGGCGCAATAGCAGATGAGTGTGATTGTGCCCATTAAATCAACGGTTTCTCTGAGCTCCAAAAGCTGATGAGCCCAGGATCCTACCTGTTGTTAGTCTGCACAAGTTACTGTCCTGAGCTTGCTTCTACCTCGTCGGGAGACATGCCCAGGTGGTCATTCCCACAAAGAGTCTCCATGGATAGTAGCTTGTGAGAGTAACTTCCTTTTCAATGAAAAATATTTGGTGGCGAATTGGCTAGTTGTAAAGGAGCTCTGAAAAGTTCTTCTTCTGGACCTTGAGCGTCCGTGCTGGCAGCTATAGTCCAAAAAAATAACTTTTCTAACTGAACTCTTGTCTCCAGAAAAGAGTTGTTCTTCCTATCAAATGGTTGGGGAAAAATTGTTCCCGTTCTCCATTTTTCTGTAAGCTCAAGACCCTTGTAAGGCAAGGTCAGCTCGGATGTTATAAACCTAATCTTCCAACTTGGTCTGAGAATATACTATATTCTTCCACCTCTACTTCCTGGTGTTTTATTATTGTGTTTGCTGTGACCAATGGGGCCAATCATGGCTAGTGCTTTACCGCTAAACCATGGTTTAATATGGGTTTGCAAAATGTAGGTTTCCCCAGGTTAGTTCCTATGGTAGTAGAGAGAGAGAGAAATAAGGAAAAATAATTGGCAGAGAGAAAGAGAGAAGTATGCAAGACAATAGCAATTTTTTCATATTTTGAGGATCTGGGGTTGTGACTTATAGACTGAAGCAAGGACAGAGTGAAGGTGCCTTGGCTAACAAAAATGGCCCCCACAATTTCTTCCAGCAACAGGCAGAACTTTTGCACATGCATAATATGATTGCTGTTGATACATAAACTGTTGCAGAGTTTCGAATTTTGGTGAAATTCTTCTAGTTGCACAACAGAAATCCAGGGATCAACAAAGCCAAATAGCGTTGAGTTCCCCAGTTTAGTCCACCGGTTTTTCCCCATCTACTGGCACTCACAGTCTCAATAACTCTGAGACCTAAGTAGAAGGAAAGAATAAGAGGTTTAATTTACTTACAGTTGGGAACAGAGCTACAGCAAACTCAACAAAACACGACTGCTTCAAGGAACAGGCCTCAACAGACTCACTTAACTTCCAACAGGCTACTGAAAGGGGAAAAGGCAGAGCAGAAAGGCAGGGAAGGAACTATTGATTTTTACGGTTAGTGATTGACAGTCACGCCAGCCTATAAAGGTTCCTCCCAGCCACACCTGCTAGAGGCAGCATGCAAGTTTGCAAAAACTCCAACATAAACAGACTCAAGGACAGCTTCAGAAACATGCCATCCTTCAGAACTAGCCAATATTCACTAGTCCAGCTCTTGAAATGCCAGCAATCCATGCAAATAACCCCCACGTGTCTTCTTCATACAGGCTGACCAGTGCAGTGGCCTCCAGGGCTTCTTGGTCTTCCATAGCTTCGGTGGAGGTACCGGGTCAGGCTTCACGTCTCTTCTGATGGAACGGCTCTCGGTGGAATATAGCAAGAAGTCAAAACTCGAGTTCTCGGTGTACCCTGCCCCACAGGTCTCCACGGCGGTGGTGGAGCCCTACAACTCCATCCTGACCACTCACACCACCTTGGAGCACTCCGACTGCTCCTTCATGGTGGACAACGAAGCCATCTATGACATCTGTAACCGGAACCTCGACATCGAACGCCCCACGTACACCAACCTCAACCGGCTGATCGGGCAAATTGTCTCGTCCGTCACGGCTTCCTTGAGGTTTAACGGAGCCTTGAATGTCGACCTCATAGAATTCCAGACCAACCTGGTGCCTTACCCGCGTATCCACTTCCCTCTGACCACGTACGCCCCCATCATCTCGGCGGAAAGGGCCTTCCACGAGCAGCTCTCTGTGCCAGAGATCACCAACGCCTGCTTTGAGTTCTCCAACCAGATGGTGAAATGTGCCCCCCGCCGGGGCAAATACATGGCTTGCTGCCTCCTCTACCGGGGCGACGTGGTGCCCAAGGATGTCAACGCAGCCATTGCCGCCATTAAGACCCGGAGGTCCATCCAGTTTGTAGATTGGTGCCCCACGGGCTTCAAGGTGGGCATCAACTACCAGCCGCCCACAGTGGTGCCCGGAGGGGACCTGGCCAAGGTGCAACGGGCCGTCTGCATGCTGAGCAACACCACGGCCATCGCGGAGGCCTGGGCCCGGCTGGACCACAAGTTTGACCTCATGTACGCCAAGCGGGCCTTTGTCCACTGGTACGTGGGGGAAGGCATGGAGGAAGGCGAGTTCTCCGAAGCCCGGGAGGACCTGGCCGCCCTGGAGAAGGATTACGAGGAAGTAGGGAGAGATTCGGCGGATGGGGAGGAAGACGATGTGGATGAGGAATATTAGAACGTGTGTGTGTGTATGTGTGTTTGTGTGTGTGTGGATCTGCATGTAACCTGGCGCAAAAGGTAAACCATACAGTTTGATAGGTGGCTTAACGTCAGGATTCAGTGTTTTTTTAAAATCTTTTATCCAACTCTTTGTAGTGTAAGGTCTTTAACACACTGTACTTTGGATGCACTTCTGTAGCCTTTTCCTCTTCTTATCTTAAGAGTGGCGTAAAGTTACTCCAGCATATGGGTCGTGGGGTGGGGGAGAGAAGGGGGAGAAAAAAGGGGGCCTTGAGCTTGATTCGTCTGCAACAGGAGACTTCTCCGCGCAGCTTGACAATGTGGGTGAAGGAAAGGATAGTACCCTGTATTATAAAGGGATGCATTAATCTACTTCTTTGTACATGAATAATAATAATAATAAAAAAGCCATTTGACATACCTAGTATTGATTTCTTTCAAAGGTGACTAATGTAGGCTGTTGTTATGGGCTGTCACGCTGCCTCCGACTCAGTCGTCATCCTCTTTTCCTGAAGTTTTCGACTTTTCCCAGCATGATTGTCTCTTCCAGAGCATCGTGCCTTCTCGTGGTGTGCCCAAAGTAGGACAGACTCACTTTCAACATTTTTGCTTCCCCCATCCCCAAGACAGTTCAAGCTAGATTTGATCCAGGACTCACTAATTCGTCTTTCTGGCTGTCATATCTGCAAAGCTCCAAACACTAGATTATTCCACATTCGAATGCACAATAATCGGTCGGGCTCTGTTTGCAATTATGCAAGAATCTTGATTTTGTGATGCAAGGGATCGGAAAACATGCATATAGGCTACCAGAGATATCCTGCAGCTCATTGAATGTTATGTTTCAGTCTACTGACATTTCTCCAGACATTACCCGCACATCTCAGCATTTCTATGTAATTATAAGAGCTCGGGATTAGCCTAATTTAAAAAAAAGACAAACAAAAAAACAAAGCAAAGTGAAAGGTAGATTCTGCATTCTCGCGAGCTGAATGCCCCTTTTGTGTGTGTCCATGCAGATGCAGGATAGACATTTCCACAAGTACTGGTTGCAAATTTCAGCTATCAGATATATTGACCAACATCTTCCATCCCCTAAGGGCATAGTTCCCTAACCTTGGGCCTCCAGATGTTCTTGGACTTCAACTCCCAGAAATCCTCCCCAGCCGAGGTAGTGGTGGGGGCTTCTGAAGTTCAAGAACATCTGGAGGCCCAAGGTTGGGGAACCACTGCCTTAAGGGAGGTGGGCCTGAGAGAAAACAGTTTATTTTCAACACTGGACATGGCATTCTAAGGATTTGCATCTAGAGGCTATGGCTTCATCTACCAAGTCAGAATCCTATAATTTCCAAGGGGAGGAACTGTGTTAATCTGCTGCAGAAAAAAAATAGAGTTTTCTGGCAACCTTAAAGAGGGGACAGGTTTTATCTGGCAGAAGGTCTTCCTGGATACAAGCTTCTTAACTCTAATGTCTCTGGGGTCTCTGGCACGAATGAGGGTCTTAAAATAAACTAAGTTATAAATTAAGCACACAGCGGCGATTCAACTGAATTTATTTTTAAACCAAAGCGATTGACATTATTAAATTAACATTTCTACCAAATTAATTTAGCCTATTCATGTTACAGTGAGGCTGCAGGGTGTAAAATCAGGGAAGGATTCTCCGCTGTCCATAAGCAAGCAGAGCTTACAGTGAGATAGATCAATGGGGGAATTGTAAAGTATAAATACAACTAATAAGTAAATATGAAATGCAATGCAATCTCCAACTTAGTCACAAAAGCATGGATGCACTTTTAAAACCCTGGGTTGAATTCAGAGGCTAATTTGTGAAGACTAAAAGGGGTTAAATGGTGGATGGCTTTAAAAAAGAACACCACTTTTCTTCAGGCGAGCCTTGTAATGTAGTAGTCTAATGTAAAATTGAAAACTAATTCAAAATTAAATCAGTGGTTTATATTTATTGTCCCTCTTTCAAAGTCAATGGAATCAAACTAGATGTTGTCGCTTATTAGTTATTTAGTTAATGTGTTAACCCCTTCCCAAATATATACTGTATAATTTACAACCTGCTTTCTTCCTTTGCAGGCATCTTGCAACATAAATTTTAAAAACCATCTCAAAACTACAGCAAACCAACCAAATTTGAACCGTGTGTAATCGATTGTCATATTAAAGATAAAGCTAAGTTAATACAAATTGAAGCTGCCTTTAAAAAGGACAACCACAGAAAGAAAATGCTGACTGAAATCTTGTTGCTTAGTGTAATAAGTCACCCTAGAGTAGATCTATTGAATCCTTAGGGCTTTGGTGAATCAACTCTTCTGTAACTTTAATAGATACAATGGGCCTACTCTAGATGAGACTTACTACAGGTTGTAAGTAGAGTAGAGCCGTTTAACTCTGGAACTTCTGGAGGAGTTGACTCACCCGTTTCCTACTCATTCAATGGGCCTACTCTAACATTACTCAAGGAGAAGGATTTCAACCATTATGTTGTACAGTGGGTTCATACATTATCTTGCACCCATGCCTCTGGGTCTGGCCACAAGGGAGAGAGAGAACATCTGCAGCCATTTAATCATATTAAAATTGTGGCTGAAACAAAAGGAGTTTGGTTATTCTGCTTCCGGGTCAAAATGTTATTTGTCTTAGGATGACTGAATCATAACATGCCACAGCAAAAAGTAAATTTGATTTTCTGATTTGATGGTCAGCATGGAGCTTGTCTTTATTTTTTTATCCCATTGCCTGGGCGATTTATATTCCTCAGGCAGGATGGCTCTGTCTATCAAAGAACGCCTTCCACATATACAGAAGAGTGATTTACCCAAATCCTTGTGAAATGTTATCTGTGGCACTCGGGAGAAGTGGCGTGCATTGCACAGGGGCCAAAATCCTGTTGCTTAGCCTAGCAAATGTTACTAGATTAGGCCCGCTGAATCAATGTGGATTGAAAGCCTGTCCACTCTGTGAAATTTGGTGCAATCCGGAGGGTGCTTGAAAAATCCTTATCTTAATTGGAATCAATTCTAACTCCTGGTACCCATCCACAAAATAAAAACTCAAGAACTGTTTTACGTCTCAAGGAATGGTCCCCAAAAGGTGCATGCAGTTAAATGTCTTTATTTACAGTGGTGCCTCGCATTACGATGTTAATTTTTTCCAGCGAAATCGCTGTAGAACGAAAACATCGTAAAGTGAAATTTAAAACCCCATAGAATCGCATTAAAGCCCGATTAATGCGTTCCTATGGGCTTAAAACTCACCGTCCAGCGAAGATCCTCCATAGCGCGGCCATTTTCGCAGCAAGGAATCCGTCCCAGAAAACAGCGGGTGGCCATTTTTTTTACCCGGCGGCCATTTTGAAACCGCCGATCAGCTGTAGGAAAATTGTCGTTTAGCGAGAATCGGCTCCCAAAGCAGGGAACCGATCATCGCAAAGTGAAAAAACCCCATAGGAAACATAGTTTTGCGATCGCTTTTGTGATTGCAAAAAACTTTGTCGTTATGCGATTTTGTCGTAAAACGCAGCGCTTGTCTTGCGAGGCACCGCTGTATTTAAAATATTTTTACCCTGTCTTTCTCCTTCAAGGGCCCAAGACGGTTCACAACAGAGGAAGGATTGATAGTTTTAAGTAGAAACGCAAGCGGCCATCTTCCCCCACGCCAGTGTCAAACCGTGCTATCCCGGAACCATATACTACCCTAACTATATGCAAGTGTGGACAGGCTGTGAATGAGTCGGCTCCTTCCTAGAGAGGGGCCCAAACCACTGGTTCATCGGTTCGTGGCAATTTGTTTACCAGCTGAATAGGTGTCTGGTGCTTCCTAGCTCTGCCTCCCCTGGCAGGAGCCCACTCAGAAGCCGCTCCCTGCCCTGCCTCCTCTGAGTGCCATCTCTAAGTGGTCACCTGCCAGAGGAGGCGGGGATAAGAACCACAGATCATCTTTTTCAGTCAGTAAACAAACTGGCACAAAGTGTTGAACCGACAGTTCATGCCCATCTCTAGTAACGCCATTGGTTCAAATGGACCTATTCTAACCGTGACTTGCTTTAGCATAGTAAATTAGAGTAGGCCCATGTGAATCAGTGGGATTTATGGAGGAAATGACTCACTAAATCCCTATGGGCCAATCGTAGTGCAATTTACTATGCAAAGCAACAGGAATTGGGTCCGTATTTCAGCTATTCTAAAACATTTGCACATTTAAATTGCATCAATGGGGAATCCTGGATTCTTTGGGGGGGACTGGAGTGACTGGCTCTGATCTATCCATGGCTCTGCTCAAAAACCGCTTTAATCTAGTTCATTCTTACTGAGGTATAATAAGTCTGTGAAACTCAATTATTTTGCTAATGGTCATGTAGGGAGTATACCTTGTTAGGCTGTAAATTATGGTACTTTTCTCCTTGAGCCGAAATCCACGGCACAAAATATCTGTATTTGGACCCACCCCAACAATGATCAAATCTCTGAATTCTCCAGCATTCTTCACCCAGACAGACTCTGGGAGGAGGAAAAGAAACTGGAAAGGTATTCAGTAAAACAATACAATGTGCAAATTGTAAAAACAGTCTTAATATAGAGTGGGGGATTTCTGAAAGCTGCAGCCGATTAGCTGCTGTTGTGCATTAAGATAAATTTCAGATTGCAGGTCCGTGAAACCACCGCTGATTGTCTATTAAACAAACATGCATAAAACCACAGACAAAAACATATTGACCCATTTAAGGCTAAGAAATTTATTTTCAGCATGAGCATTTGTGGACTTAACCCCTCTCTTCAGAAACAAGGGGATCCAGCGGTTCAGTTAAATACAGCAGAGGAATCGAACTCCCCATCTCTGGCTCTTCTCCGAGCTATCCAGCCATTGATCACCACCACTCCCATCATCCTCATTTTAGAACAGCAGAGCTGAAAGGGATCCTGTGGGTCATCCAGTCCAGCCCCTCCCAAAGAGGCCCAGTGGAGGATTCGAACTCCGAACCTCTTGCTCTGCCACCGGAAGGGGTTGTGTTTCACAGAAAAGACATACTAAGTAATCTTTTAGTGGGAGGGCATACTGTGACTTCTCTGCTCGCACCTGGGGTCTGTTTTCTGTCTTCTTGAAGAATGTTTACAACAGGACTCTGAAACAAACATAGGCCTAATTCCTGCGTGTAACCAATTTAACATTTACAACGTGAAACTGGCATTTCATGGACATTTTGTGCTGTTCCTTTATGTCTGACCCAGTGGATGTGCCCACAAAAGCTTACATGAAAACATCACCTTTAGTCTTTAAGGTGCCACACGTTGTTTTTCGGATTTCAACTGATATTCTGTATACCAGACGACAGCCCTTTGTGGTCTTTGGATGCTGGTGGACTGCAACTCCCATCATCCCCAGGCAGCAAAGGATCCTTGTCACCCTCGGTCCTGGGAAGGGGCTGCCTGTCCACCTCTGCCTTCCAGCCCTCCTCAAGCTGATGTCATCCAGAGGCATTGGACTACACATCCCATCATCCCTGCTGGCTAGGGATGATGGGAGGTGTAGTATTTTGAGAGGGCCAAGTTGGGGAAGGGGTGCTTGTAAAACACTGACCATGGGTCAGTTACTTTAGTAACTCCCAGAAGCCTTCAGTGCAAGTGGGAGTCCAGAAAAGGAACTTATTGAAGCTGGAGGGGAGAGGCTGCTCCGCCCCCGCCTCGCTTGAAGACAGCTGGGGGCGGGGCTTCGGTGGTGGTGGAGGAGGAGATTGGGCGTCTCCTGGCTTGAAGACAGCTGGAGGCGGGGCTTCGGTGGAGGAGGAGACTGGGCGTGTCCCATGCAAATAAGAAGCCCAAAGCGTTCCCCGCCCCTTCTCAGAGGGAAGACGTCAGCGTTCGGGGAAAGGGGGGAGTGGGTGGGGCCGCCGCGCCCTGAGCGACGGGCGTGTGAGCCAATAGAATCGGGCTCTGAAGGCGGGACTTCCGGCCCCGACTGGCGAGCCTTAGGCGGCGGAGAAGAAGAGCGGCCGGGCGCTGCCGCCATGATCAAGAAGTTCGACAAGAAGGACGAGGAGTCCGGTAGGAGCCGAGCCCGCGGGCGCCTCCGCCGCCGCCGCCCAGGCCCCGTTGCTAGGCGGGAGGAGGAAGCCGCCGCCCCCCCCTCCGACAGGGGGCCGGAAGCCCCGTAGCGCGCCGTTGAGGCTGTGGCTCCGCCCCTTTGGAGGCGTGGCTTTGAGGGGGACCCAGGCACCTTCCCTCGGGGAAGGACCACAACTCCCATCTTCCCCAGCCGCGAACTCGTTGCCGGGCAACGCCCGTTTTTTTTTTGGCCCGGGGGGC